TGAGCGTCTCACATCGTGGGCCAGGATGCAGCTGGAGGATAAAGAACACATATCTGATGAGGTACAGAAGGGAAGACGTCACCTTTGTGGAAGTTTTATGCTTATTTATTTTTAAGGTTCAATTAAAGTGTTGCATTTTAAAAGAATTTAAGTCATTCTAGCTAAACTTTCCTTTGTAAACATTAAATTTCTTTTGCATTGGAGGTTGTTATGGTAACCATATGATCATTTGGTTTGAATTGAATTTCCTCTTTGATAGCACAAGAAACATCAGATGGTGATAGCTCAGGTGATGGTGGAAACTCTGAAATACCTGCATATAATCCAAAAACGTAAGTAATATATATGACTCGTTCCTCCAGCTCTTTGGCTGACTGAAGGAAGTTTCAGAAAAGTCTCTGTGGGCTAAAATTGTTTAAAACGATGTGACACTGGTTTTCTATTCGAGGCTTTTTGGAAAGATACGCAATAAATGTGCACCTGTTTATTCAAGAGTGAATCCGGGTCTCATGTTTCATTGCAGATGATGCTCTAAAAAGCGTAGAGTGTGAGAACAACCTCATCATGTTCAAGGCGATCGCCCACCTGCAGGTGAGCTTCATTTAACCAATGTTTTTCAGCATTACTAAATCTGTTATTTGACTTTGTTTTAAACTCCAGACTTTCTATCTTTCTCTTCTTAAGGAGGACTTTGATATTTTTTTCACTCCCTCCAACTATGAGGATCCAAACATTCGAAAACAGATCCAGGAACATCACATCACAGCGTACGAAAACACCCGTGGCCGCCGTTCATGTAAGGGGAAGGCCACAACAACTCCAGTTGTAGCTAACGATCCAGATGGCAAGACCAAGACGATCTCCACAGAAGCTGGTTTGCGCCGTCTGGGGAGGCAGCTGCAGCGCACCGAGCAGGAGCTGTGGTCTGATTTGGCCTTGAGGGCTCTGAAAGTTGGCAAAGTTGACAAGGCGCTCAAGATCCTGAGGTTTGCATGTAGAAACTGACAGAGCCAGCTTTTTTGTTTGGTGCATTATTTAAACATTTAAAACTTGCTTGTAGTCATATTTGCACTTTCTCTCTATGTTTTCAGTGAGCTGTATGAGCACCACTATAACAGCAGCACAGGGAAGGTTTTGTTTACTGCTGCCAAGATGTTATGCCATATGCTGGAGGCGGATGTCCCCATGGTGCTTCCTGATGGCATGGATTTGCCAGCAGTGATTCATGATCTGGCCTGTCAGGCTATCACCGTGTGTCATTCAGGTAAAGAACACATGCAAGCATCACAAATGTTCAACAGTATTTTACACAGGTGAAAGTTGCACTAAAATGACTCAGCCCTGGATTTATAGTTTTACTGTAAAATATATTTTGCCGTAAAAAGTGAATACATGCGTGATATAAAAGTTTGACAGGATATTTTTTTTACCCTATCTATCTTAAAACAAATAAAAAAGATATAGTTATTACTTATCTTTGTCTGGTCTTTTTAAAGCAGCTGCCTTTCCTCAGGCCAACAGAGTGAAAATATATTTGATAGAGATGTTTTTGGGTTTTTTTACCCTCAGCCAACAAAGGCTGGTGGGGTTTTGTGGTTACTCTGCTTCATTCTGGTTTATCACATTTAAAAATGTAGGTGTCTTTGTCACTTGCTCACCTACTCATCTAGCAAAGTAGCAGGTCCAACATGATATCATATGTGTATCTACTCGAGGCTGAGGGATACCACTACTTGTCAGTAGTCTTTTGTGTTTATGACTGGTACAGAGGTGGTGTTTATATTTAAAACCAAAGTGTTAAATTAGGTGTGAAATACTCTTAAAGCCAAAACCTCAGGCTTCAGCCTGCTCTGAATGCTAAATGACTCTGTAGGACATCATTGAGAGATGCACTTTTTAATATCTTCTGTTTGTGAGGGGCATCCAATCACAAAGTTAACTTAAAGGGAGAGTCAAGATGTAAAAAAAAACATCTAGAAGGAATTTTTTCAGCTGGTCTAAGTGAGCATAACGTGTCTTATTCCCCTTACCTTTTCATATAATTTGCAAGTTTGCAAATTCTGAGGTTTATCTTGTATTGTTACAGATCTTCTCCTGGATTGTCTGGAGCTTTGCAAATGTACACGGTTTGCTATGGATGTCTATCATCAGTGTCAGTTATCAGACAACTATGGCTTCATCGTCAAGGTCAGTATCTTCCTACCTCTCATCCAGTGTAAATCACATAAACCAGTAGAACAAAGAAAACATTTCAGATGTTTAAACTGAAACATTTCACAACTTGATGAAAAACAATATTAGTTTGTTTTGAATTTGATGACAGCAACATGTCTCAAAAAGAGGAGGATGTAGCAAAAGGCTTAACAGCAACAGGCCAGTAAAAATAGTTTCTTAGGCAGAGATTGAGGTGCTATGGAATTGGCAGCTTGCATATCTGAAAAGGCACCATCAATGCTGGAAGGTATATACAGATTTTCAAATATCATGCTCCCATATGTAAGAGGGACTTACATATTTCAGTGAAACAATGCTAAACTGCATACTGGAGCTTTTACAACAGCATGGCTTGAAGGTGAAGTTGCAGGTGCAGAACTGGCTTTGCTGTAGTCCAGACATTTGAGCAGCTGAAAACATTTGGCATATCATGAAATAAAAAAAATACAACAAACCAGACTGCTGAGCAGCTAGAATCCTATATGAGACAAGAATGGGACAACATTCCTCCACAAGAAGTCCAGCTGGTCTCTTGAGATATCCGATGCTTATAGACTGTTTGGGGTGCTACACTGTGGTAAACATGGCCTTGTACCAAGTTGTTTTGTATTACTGCCATCAAATTCAAAACGAGCTCATATTTTCCATGAAATTGTACTTTTTCTCAGTTTAAATATTTCATATGTTTTCTGTGTGATTTGAATGACATCTGGGTTTGTGAGATTTGAAGATCATTGCATTTGGGTTTTACTTATATTTTACTTAACCTTTTTGGCCTTGGATTTTTTTTTTTTGGCTTTTTCTTTTTTTAATGATTTATTTGTTGGTAGACATCTAAATTATTATCATCACAAAATTCTAACTGTGAATCTCTTAAGCGGATGGTAAGAAATACTCCATGATTTTGATAAAAGTGCATTTATTTAATGCTTCTCTCTCACAAAGCTGCGGAGTGAAGCGAATGTTTTCATACTTTTTAAACTGTGCACCGTTCCAGGATTTGACACCGGAGGCAGAAAAAGACCC